GTCCCCCTCCGCCTGCAGAGCCACTGTGGGTAGGGGCATCCCCCCATGGGGTTCCCCAACCCAAAAAGGTTTCTGAAGGGTGTTTTTGCCCTCCTCCCCACAGCTCTTCCTGCGCCGCAGCACCTGGCGAAGCTTCGCCTCGCAGACGGACGGGGAGGCCCGAGTGACCCGGGTGCTGCGGGAGAAGTTCCCCCGTGCTTCTGCCATCAAAGTCGTGGATATATCAGGTACAGGAAAAAAAGCTCTTTAATTCCTCTCCCCAAACCTTCCATGCGCTTTGCGGGGGAGGAATTGAGTCTGTCCCCGGCGCCCCCCCCCAAAAGGATCAGGAATGGGGTGAGGGGGGCACAAAGGACTGTGGTCTTTGCTCAAGCGTTTGCCACTGTCTTTATTTTTCTAGGAGGCTGCGGTGCCATGTATGAAATTCACATCGAGTCGGAGGATTTCAGAGAGAAGCGGACGGTGCAGCAGCACCAGATGGTTAACCAGGTGAGGGGGACTGCGGCCTGGCTGGTGACGATTGTGTTTGGGCACAGGGGGGTGTGAGAGTGTGTGCGGTGCTTCGTGCTGCACTGCCTGTGTGGCACTTGGAGCTGAACTCGCTGCCTGCAGCGTGTTGGTGTAGCACTATTTACTGTGCGCACATGCAATGGGTGTGCCAAACTGCGGTGCCTGAAGTGCTGCACGCACTGTGGGTGAAGTGCTGCGCAGACACACGGTGTGAGTGCCTCAGTAGCTCTTTGCTCCCTCCCAATAAAGATCACTGGGAGGGAAGGAAGAGCCACACTGAAGATGAGCATGGCTCTACCCAATAAAAGCCAGCATAGCTTGCTCTTCATGTGGCTCTCCCTCCCCTCCCAGTAAAGGCGAGTGTGGCTCTTCCTTCCCCCACAGTAAAAGCCACCATGGCTTGCTCATCCATCCCAGTGTAACTCACTCTTGCTTCCCAGTAAAGGTGAGTGTGGCTCTTCATCAGGGAACACCAGTGTAGTGCTGTGTGTGCGCATGGGGCACTTGGCCTGGTGCAGTGCACTCTGTAGTTCAGCAGTGTGTGCAGTGCGCATGTGGTGTGAGGATTGTGTGTCTGCACACAGTAGTCACCGAGAGGGACAGCTACACACACACTGTATGCTATGCACATGCAGTGAGAGGGTGAGTGTCTTTTGGAGCTCTCCCCACCTGTGTAATGAACAGTATAGGGCTTCCCCAAATTTATTGGGCAGGCTACACTTTGGCTGTGCTTGCACAGCATTTACAGGGAAAGTAGTTTAAGCACTCAGACCCCCAAACAAATTGTGTGCCAGCAGCACATCACACAGGGTGTGTGGCCAAAATTACATTACATTCTCTTCCCAGGGTGTTGAACTAGAGTGCTCTTACAGTATGCATACAAAATTCCTGGAGAAAAGGGAAAGGCAGATTGTGTACTAAAAACATCCACTGCAGTACACCTACCAGATTGCAGTTGAGAAGAGAGGAAAAAGGTGGCTTGACATCATAGCGGTGGTGTTGGGTACCACATGGCCTAAAGCGGTGGCACTGAGTAGTGTTGCTGTGTGCACAAGTAGCACTCTGCTGCCATCACGAGCACTACACTGTGATGCTCAGTGCTGGTGTCCTCTGTTGCAGGCACTGAGTGAGGAGATCAAGAGCATGCATGGACTGCGCATCTTCACCTCCACCCCCAAACCCTGATGCTGAGTGGTCAATAAAGATGCTCTCCTGAGGTGGCTGTGGCCCCCAACTGCCTGTATCAAAAAGCCCTGTGTTTTCAATTAAGCACCTGTGCAGGGTGGGGGGGGTGTGATGGGGGAAAGGAAGGAGAAGAGACAGCCAAGAGAAGAGCAGGAAGGAGAAACTTTATTATTGCTGGGTCCCTCCCTCAGCCCCACCACACTGGGGACAGGATGGGAGCCCATCAGACCAGGCACTTCTTTTCCTCCCCCCACAATGCTGTCACCAAAGGGGAGCTTAAGGCTCTAAGTGCACCTCGTCCAAAAAAAAGCACTTCAGAAATAAGCTGAGCCACTCTGCTTTTGCCATCACCCCGGTTGGGCTGCTCACAGGCCAAGTGCTGTGGGGCCAGAGAAAAACTTGAGTAGAAAGCAGGAGTGCAGCACTTGAACTTGGCCTGTGGGGAACAAAATCTGCTAAAATCTCCTCTGAGGCCGAGTCCCATCTTCAACAAGAGTGCGGTTTTGCCAGACCAGAGCCAAGTGGACTGCACAGGCGCAGCCAAAACTTTAAACCAACACCAGGGGCTGCACAGTGGAAGCAATGCTTGGCCTCTGAGACGGATGCCATTCGGAGTGCAGTCTGGTGTCTCGGGGCTCACACCGCTGAAGGCGAAGCATAGAAGTGGCTGGCGTACAAAGCGGAAAGGAGCGGCCAAAAGGGTCCTCCCAGGGAAAGTCTATCTGTCCTTGGAGCCCAGCTTCTCGATCAGTTCCTGCAGAGGAGCCAACTCCCGCCTGTCGATCAAGTTGAATTCCTAGCGGGGAAAAAAGAAACAACAGAAAAAACTAAAGGCACCTCTCAAAGAGCTGCTGGAAAACACATCTGGCCAACGCGCGCCAGCTCCAAAAGAACCACCAAACAGCATTACTGCAGCAGCCACTGCTCCTGTTTCTCTGTGGAGAAATTCAGCATTTCACAGCAGAAAAAGCTTTGTGGTCTTGAAGTATCATGCTGCTCAAGTTGCACAGGCTGTTAAAATACTGACAAAGTGGGGAAGAAAAAGAAAAAAAATAGACAAGAGGTGCTGCTGCTGTTTCCAAGTCAATTCTTGAGCTACAAGAGCTCCAAGTTCTCCTCCGAGCCTGGTTTCTTTTGCAGCACATTGATAGTAAAACCTGAGAGGGAAATTCAAGCGTTCGCAGCCAACTCGGACACACTTCCTGAAAAGGACAGAAAAAGAAAACCCAAACCCCAACACCACAAACCCACAGCTGCACGGTTCGCACAATACTGAGGGTGGGAGCTGAGACTATCTTCCAGCACACACCACAGCTGCAGATCTTCAAAGGGTGAGGGGGCACTTAAAATCCAACTCCCTTGAAAAGCAAACGGAGAACAAGATGCCCCAGAAGCAGGCGACCGGCTGCTGTTTTGCAACTCACCTGCACGAAGAAGATAAAGTGCTTGAAGGAGGTGTTGAGGTGGGCCTCCTCCTGCAGCCGCATGACGGAATCGAAGTGCTGGTGGTAGATGTGGGCGTAGACGCGGAACAGCCGCTTCAGGATTGTCTTGGCCACCGACATGAAGTTCTTGGGAAAAGGGACGCCTGAAACACACCAATGCGCACAGATGAGTCCTTCAGTTTGGTCAGAAGGACCAAAGTGAGACGTTCCGGCAGTGTCTCAGTCCTGTACGTGAGGGCCATTGCATTGTGCTTACCGATCTTTGAAGGGAAGAGCGTTTCATCATCCAGCTGGTCCTGTACCCACGTCATCAAGTAATCGATGTACTTTGGAGCTGAGCACTTGATCGGCTTCTTTATGTTGGTGCCGTCTGCCCAGTGGTACTCGTACCTGTGGGGAGAGGGAAGGAAAAGAAATTCTTTGCTCAGAGAGGGAAAATCACATTTTCTGGCCCCGCAACTTCCTCCTTATCTCTGTAAGGAGTGATGCTGCAACACTCCTACTCCTCCAAAAGCAGCGCTTTGCCTTTCCCAGTTATTAAGCACAACTACAGTCACAGGTAGTACCTCCACAGCCATCACCCTCAGGGTTTATCCTCAAAAGTAAACTTGAACGTCACAGCAACCTCCTCCGACATCAACATTTCCTCAAAATGAGACAAAAACCGGCCAGAAGGGAAGCGTCACAGCCATCACCCACCAGCTGCATCAGTTCACCTACGGCTTTCAGACACCCTCTGGGAATTTGGCACTCCCTCTCCCCTCAAAAGTTCCCAGAGAGACCTGCCCTGGAGCTGCACGTTAGCCAAAGCTTTTGGAAGCCACTGTCTCAAACGGACACACATGCCTATCGATCCCAGGGCACACACTGACTGTAACACAACACAACACCACAACCCGCTTTCTCTGCGATCTTTTGCAAAATCCTTCAAAAGCACAGGGAAAACCCCCACGTTTCGACTGTCGCCTGTTGACCGACGACAAGTGAAAACAAACTGTGCCATTTAAACAGGAAATCGTTACAGGAAACGTCCCCAAATATAGAAACAGGAACTTGCAATCTAGATACTTCTGGGTAGAAAAGCAGGGCACGATGTTACACAGCACCCTACGAATACTGCCCACCAGCCAGACTCCACACAGCTGCGCCAAAACCAGAGCCTCGAGTAACCTTACACACCAGATGCCCTGCTGCAGCTTCACCTCGACAAAATACACAAGTGTAACGCCAACATGTAACATTCCTCTCCCTAGAGAAGAGGAGGTATTCACACCTCCTAAAAACAAGGCAACCTATACACCTTTGTTATTTCCCTTCCACTTTCCCCCACGCCCCAACTTTCTCCTGCAAAGCAGTTACAGCATGTCGGCGAGCTAAACGTCCCTCCTGAAAACCACCGCCCCTGCTTCTTGCCTGCACGAGGATCGCCAGTGCGAATCGAGGGACAACAGCCCCTAAAACCACCTGCGGACATCACACCCTTTCACAGCCTGTGCCAGGATAAGTGTGTTTCAGGCCAGGCTGATTCAACTGGACACGTCATAGCAGCCTTGATATGGCGTAGGGATTGGCAAGACTCAAAAGACACTTGGCCGTTCCTTACTGCACCTACCAGTCTCTATAAGCACGAGGTTCCCTTC